TCTCTATATATATATATATATATATATATATATATATATATATATATATATATAGAGAGAGAGAGAGAGAGAGAGAGAGAGAGAGAGAGAGAGAGAGAGAGAGAGAGAGAGAGAGAGAGAGAGAGAGAGAGAGCAATGGTATGGCATTCTCATGAATCTATAAGATTCATTAGCCATTCCCGATCCAGGTCAGCGATTGGAGTTGTTGAACAGCTTCAATGTCGAGCTGAAATCCCTTAGCGAGAGCTTCAGGGATCACTGGAGGATCGGATCCAAACACGGCGTTAGATAAAGTGACGACACCTGGATTTTGGCTATTAAGACTAGCTATTGCAACTGCAGTAGTATCGTTTCCGAGGTTGTACTGGAAATGAATGAGACCCTTTGGGGACACGAAAACATCACCTGGATTCAATATCTTTGCAAATAGCCTGTTTTTGTCACCTGGATTCGAAGGGTTCGACGAAATGAAGCCAGCATAGATAGTTCCTTCCATACATAGAAGAATTTCGGATGCGTGTGGATGCGAGTGCGGTGGATTTACTCCTCCAACTGCAAAGTCTATACGCACTATAGAAATTCCGAGTGTGTTTAGCCCTGCTAACTGATCGATGAAAACGAGACTCACTTTTGACCCGTATTGACTTATTATTTCTCCAGGTTTATTCAGACCCGAATGGTAGAAGTCATCTGATGTTACTGTTTTCGGGTCCTTGCATATCTTTCCATTCACAAACACTGCCATCCCATGCATGCATCATTCAAATTGAGTCATAAATATATTTGATTTAATTTAATTCGAATAAAAAAAACAAGATCAAGGAAATTATATATGAATTAATTACCAGCAGCACTGGAATCGTTGACAGCTACGCAGAAATCTTGCAACGGGTTGGGATCATAGGCATCTGCTGATAAAGTAGCAAAAACAGCGACAACTACGAGGAATAACAAATTAATTCCAGACATTTTCATGTGATTATAAACAAATTAAAATACGTACTGTATATGTTTATCATATCTTCTGTATTTATTGTGAGAGGTAGTTGTGATAATATGTTGCAAAGGAAACGAGGTATGTATTTATAGTTTCACTTGTATATATGGTAGACAATGCCTACTTTTCCACCTATTTATCAAGAAAAAAAAATGGAAAATAAAAACTATATATACTGAATATATTAAGTAATTGTAATTTTGTATCCATTTTGGATTTGGCTTCTGATTTTGGATACAATGATAGATCTCACGTACCAAAAAAACGTTTTTGTGTTTTCCGGAACTAGGCTTTAGGACACGTTTGGCTAAATTTATTTTAAACAACAGATAAGCTCTTTTACGTTCTGATAAGACGTTTTAAAAGCTGAAAAGTTGTTATTGTGTTTGGGTGGTGAGTTTCTATGTTATTTTTACTCATTATAAGATTTTAAATAAAAATATATAGGGTAGATGTGCTTTTTAAAAAAGAACTTACTTGCTCTCTAACAATTTATCTTTTAACAAATTAAAATCTTTTTAAAATAAATTACCAAATAATTTAGAAGAGCATATAATTAAACTTTTAAACATGTTATAAGCAATTAATTGTTACCCAACGGAATTTTTGTTTTACCACTTACCTAAAGAAAAGTTGCTAAAGAAAGGAATTAAATGGTAATTAAACGTAAGCCGCCATCTAATTGGATTTATGTATTTGGACTGCATTATTGATTATTTTTGCAGTATTTCCAATTCATTTAGGAAAAATATAATCTGGAATTAAGAAGAATTAATAAGAATTTTTTTAATAAATGTAGAAGTCAAATTATATCTAAAGTATTTTGGAAAAATAAATTATATTTGTTTGTATTAGTTACATGAAGACATTTGATATTAATTGTAGCGATTAAATCATGTATGAAGAGAAAGGAAATTTTGATTTTTTCTTGCCCAAATAAGTAGGTCAAATTTGAAAAGTTTACCACATGTTTTTATTTGGAAATATAGTTTGAAGAATTTCAAAATCTGGTCAAATTGTATTCTCCAATTTTCTCTGGTGGTTATAGTTAGAATCTAAAACATACGCTTAAGAATGTACAAGGTATGCCCCGTGAGGGGCGGCTTAGTAGATGGAGCAAGAATGGCGTCACGGACCTAAGATTGAATCCAATTGTCAATATTCACTCAGTCGAGCTCATCATACATGATTCGCCTACTGTGATTATAACATAGTTCGCTTAGTGTGACTATAACAAAGCAAATTACATTAATCCAATCATAACATGCAAGTGATATTAAGTCATGGAGTTTGTACCGGCATCAAGTTTCCTAATACGGTGTTAAAAAGGAAAGATAGTCGATAGTCGTGGGTGGGGGTGTTTCGTAGTTGATTAAAACTGAAAATTGAAATCCGTACACATCTTACTTGTTGCAGATAAAAACTGCAGTATTCAACCTTTCTGTTGAAGATGGAATTGGCGCGATTTCAAAATTTGGAATAGAGGATATGCAGGAACTGATTTATGTATTTCCAATTTGTATAATCTACAGCTTGTAAATTTATTGTAGATGGGTAGCAGGTAGATTACAAGGGCAAATTTGGTTATGTAAAATTAGAGATAATATAAGTGAGGAGAATAGGTTGATTTTAACCTTATAAGATGGGTGATTACAAACCCTCATTAGGAGAGTTGGTACCTAGCCTTTACCAATAGAGTAACGGTCTAGGGTTCGAGTCCCCCTCCCCTACTTTCCCTTGTAATTGACTTGAATTTTCTAAAAAAAATAAAAAAATAATAAATAAGATGGGTGATTATACAGGTGGATATGTTTATTTTATTTTATTTTTTATTTTTCCCCTTAGGTGAGTGGTTAATGGGTTTCTTGCCTATTTTGAAATGCCAAATTCTCGGAAGGGGAAAATCAGATGAAAGTCGTTCGAACTTAGGAGTAAAAATCGGAATGGAATTTACAAACACTAATTACGATACGAAAATATTAGAATTTGAAATCGTATTTTTGTCCCGGTTTTCCAATATATATTTTAATGGAATTTTAAATTGTGTACAAAACTAATGAAATTCTGATTTTCGATTCAATTCTAGTTTCGAATATTTTGATTGTTTTCCAAAATATAAATATAATTTCATGATATATTTTGTAAATTCATAATATAATTTATGTTATATATTTTATGGGTGAAAATTTAGACCGGATGGCCTGTTTTAATTTTAAAAGTCGGATGCCATAGGATAATTGACACGTGGATATTTTAAATAAAAAATAATAAGGATTCTAATAATTGGAAAAAAAAACGAAAACCCAGCATAACCCGTAACCCCTCTAAACCTTAATTATAATTAGCGTGATTTTATTACGAATTACGACTTTAGAGTGCCACATGTCA